GAAGGTTGCTTGCTCCGTCATCCAAGGACAGACCTGGGCTTGGCTTTCAGTCCTGCTGTGTGATCTTGGGCAAGTCACTTAAGTTCTCTGAGCTTCTGTTTCCTCCTGCATCACTTAGACCTTTGAAACACCAGCCCCAGAAAGGGACTGACCTAGGCAGGAAAGGAGGCGGTTGGCCTGGTGAGGACCCCATTGCCCCAGGGCCACCAGGCAGTGCCGGATGCGCAAGGCCGGGGGCATCCTCAGACTTTCTCCGGAGGCCGGTCTGTCGCTGCTTCTTGGCGCACAGCAGTGATTCCAAGCCTGCGAGGGTCCTGAGGGGCCTGTGCCTCAGGTGGGGATCGCCCTGGCCCTGCCGAGCCTGGAAGGATGAGGGAGGACAGCTCGGAGGTCCAGATGAGCTTCCTGGAGCACCAGGTGTGCCCAGAGCACCTTGCACACGGCCTGGGAGCCGTTCGGCCCTCTCCGTGACCGTGAGCCTTGCCCAGGGCCAGGCACTGGCCACCTGCCCCTCACTCTCCACCAGGAGGGCATCTGCAGCAGTCCAGGGGACAGGGACCTGATGCCGGGGGAGATGGATCTCAGCTGCTTCCAGGGAGCCCAGGTGGACGCTCTCCTGGTCCCCGACCTTGGACTTGGACTGGGTCTCTGGGCAGAGCACCTCCGTCCCTCCCAAGGAGCTCGGCGCTGACTGTTTTTGTCGTATTGATGTCCAGGTGACGAGTGTCCAGGGAAGAGTTTAACATCGCGTGAAGCAAGTGACCTGGAAGCAGAGCAGAGGGAGGCCTGTGGGCAGCGTCGGCGGGAGGGGAGGGGAGGCCGGCCGGTGCGGGTCAGCTTTGAAAGGGGTCAGCAGAGGCGCGGCGTGGGGAGACGTGCCGTGAACGGCCATTAGGAGCCGCGTGAGAGCAGAGAATCCCCCCAGACCCCCGACAGCCGCATCTCCACACGTCTGCAAGCAGAGAGCTCTGAAGGTATGGCCCCGCGTCTGGGTTAAAAGCTCTTCTGTCTGCGTAACTGTCAGATCTCGAGTTATGGCGTTTGCTTCTGGGAACCCCTCTGCAGGCAGAACGGAGAGGGGCCGGGCCCAGAAATCAGAGTTAAGGGTTGGGACAGGCTGGACGGCGCCTGAGGTGCTGTGTGGCTTGCACTTGAGGAGGCTGATCAGCTCTGGGCCTGTGGTTCCCACGGCCTGGGATTCAGGGGCCTGAGAGGCGAGTGCCGGAGCAGCAGCATCCTGCTCTGCCCTGTGGCGCCCACCCAGCCTCCACACCTGGACGGGGCTATGGGAGCGAGGCTGGGACCCGCCGAGAGGTGGTGAGGAGACATTGATATCCATTTGAGTTTCTGTCAGGAGCCATCTGTTCCCAGGCACATCAGGACCTCTGTGGGACGGCCTCCCTGCCACAAGGAATCTCTTGGAAGCTCAATTGCTTTTAGAGGGCTCAGGCTACTGCCTCTGCAGACCCTCGTCCATCCGTCCTCATCAGGCCTCACGTCCTGGCTGCCTGGCCACCAGGGCCAGCACTGGACACTCCTCCCTGGAGGACAGACACCTGCAGCTGTGTGCCTGGGACCGGGCTGGACTTTCCAACCATCGCCTAGGAGCAGGCGGGGACAGGGCGTGGCCTGAGGGACATGACCGTCCACATGCTACTGCCCATCTGGCATTGACAATATGCCTGTTAGCCCCTGAGGCCGGCAGGACGGCCCCCCAGCAGGCCTGGCCACCTGAGGGCTAACCGGGGAGTGACAGTGGCGGTGACTGTCCCTCGGTGGGCCTCGTTCATTCCTGTGTTTAAACACTGAGCACCGAGAACGTGCCAGGCAGAGACCAGCAGGGAATCAGAAAAGGAGGGAGCCCTGGCCCGGGGGGAGGTGGACAAGGCGGCTGACCTGTCGGGGCTGAGGAGAGCCCCAAACCCAGGCTGGAGAGCTGTGGCTGGGAACAAGGTGGGGCTCCGTGGGGAGAAGACGGGGTTTGTTCTGGGGCCAGACGGTTCCGTGTGGCTGGTGCATCTTCATACGGGGGCTTGGGCCAGGGTCGGGTGGGAGGCAGTGGGCAGGGCCAGGCGTGGTGCTGGGCACTGGGGGGGCTGGGCACCTCTCCTGAGGGCGGAGCCAGCCCTGGGGCCGCAGGATTCCCCGGGGAGTAGGCCCGAGGGTGAGGCACAGGGTGCTGGCAGGCGTGCCCAGCGGTGCCGGAGCCTGGGTCCCCAGCCCCGAGCTCACTGCAGACATGGGAGCTGCCAGGTGCCAACAAGGCCATGGCTGGCTCCTTGGGGTCAGGGAGGACATGGAGCGGATGGGCAGATGCTTCAAGGTGGCCTTGGGTCTACGTGGCTGCAGGCCGTGGCTGGGCCTCTCTCCACAGGAGTCCCTTCAAGGCCCTTCCTGAGCAGGACAGTCACCTGCAGGAGAAAAGGCGGAGGAAGGCAGGGGAGGGAGGAAGGGGGCCGGCTGCCTGGGGACCTGCAGGGCTTCCTCCCTGCCCAGCCCGGGCCTGTCCTGGGCAGGTCTCTGAGCTCCTTCAGGCACTCAGGGGTGAGCTCCGTGGGCACCGATCACACCCTCTAGTGGCCCCTGCGCCCCTTAAGGCTTGCAGACGAGGGGCAGCCAGTGCCTCTTGCAGCGCGACCAACCCCTCCAAGCCTCTTTCCTCACCTGCTAAATGGGCACCATAGAGAGCTGCTGCCCGAGCAGGGTCGTCGGGCTGCTCCTGGAGCTGTGGGGAGGGGGCCTGAAGAGGGAGGAGGGCCCCAGCTGCCCTGGCTCTCTGGGCCGCACAGCCGGCCCCCACTTACTCCGCTGTCCGGGGCAGTAATTGCCAAACCCTGTCTGCATGATGGCCGAGGTGGGTCCAGCTCAGCACCTCCTGCAGCAGAGGGTTGATTGGGCTCTGCACCCGCCCCCCACAGCCCCCCACGCCCCCCCATCACACCCACCAGGGTCTGTGCGGCTCAGGCCCCGACCTGCTCAGCAGCCGCTCCGCCAGGCGTTTCCATCATGGGTCACCAGTTCAGATGTGCCTCTAATTGGCTCTGCTGTGGGAGAAACCCCCTCCCCACCGCCGCATTCCTCCACCAGAGCGCCGCAGGGGGAGGGGAATCCTGCTCGCCCCTGGAGGACTTCAAAGGCTCCTGGCAGCAGGATCGGGCTCAAGGAGAGA